ATTTTCAGACTCTTCCGGTCTCATTATGTATACACTACTTTCATGCTGTAAAACTCCGTACATGCATCATTTTTATGCAATCAAAGCATAAAGAAAACGAAGGAAGGTGTAAATATTTCATGACTCTAGTGATTACATATATGCATGACGTTCGATATATGAAAAACTTAAGTTAAAGGGATTCAACATAGAAAATATTTCTTGTATAAGACATTCTAGTAGCGCACACGAGTAGCTATGACGCAATCACGTATCAACCACGACATTATTTCAAGAAACACACAACTGTTCATACAACAATCAATTATCCAATTAAGCCTTAAGGTATTTCGATAATGAAATAACTTACCACAAAATGTTGTTCCCAAACATAACGTATATTTCTCCTTTTTTTTTTATTGATCTCCGATTAAACCCTAAAATATAAGATTAAGATCAATGTGGGTACGAGAGATTTAACCTAAACAATCTCAAATTATTGGAATTTATGTCAAGACAAGAATACTTGTTTGAGTCACTCCACAAAGAAGCTGATTGATCATGTTAAGTTTGAATGATTCTGCATGCAACCTAAACTACAAAGAAATTTAGTCATAGATGGAAGAAAAACACAAAAACCCTTAACCTTTACACGATATTCCAAAAGATATTTTATGACCATAATTATCAAATATATATACTTTATGGCCATAAACAGATACTATGTAATTAAACAAACACCATAAATCTAAATTATCATCCAAGCTTCATTCTTTAATGTGGCATGAATTACAACAATTTGTGATAATTTGAACAATACTTTTTTCTTATCGTCCTTACAGTTTATCGTGTATGATTGATGTCTTGATTTATATTACAATTACTTCTTTTAAGTCGTCCTCAAGTCATAGTTTAAAATAGTGAAATCGTCCATAGAAAAATTCTAAATAATAAATGTTAAAATTGACTAATATAACAAACTTGTATTATAAGTTACTTAGGCTAAAACTTTAAAACAAAGTTTAGGTGGCTTAATCGAGGAAGTATTTGAACTTTTCCTACAAATGTTTGAACACGTCTTCAATTATCTTACCGTCGTCTTCAATTAAAAGGGTTATTGACTTTGAAGTCCACTAGTTTAGAGTCCTATCGAACACTTTAAGTTCATATACCTAATTTCTTATATACATTGGACATAATAAATTTAAGAAAGAAGTAGACGAAAGACTCTGGTACATAAATTAAAGGGTACGTAACTTTAAAATTCATAGACCTTTCATGTCTAGGGCACAAGACACAAACTAAAAGTTTAAGTATCTATAAAACATTGATCGTATGAGTGTGCAATTATACTTTGGATGCTTCGCCAAATGAAAGAAATTATACTCGTTTCTGAACTAGAGTAAGAAGCCTAGTCAAAAGCATAATAGACGCGGACCAGTCCAAACTAAGAAAATTACACAAAGAGTAGAAAAAAAGTGGATGAGGGGTGGTTGTGTATTATATAACCCGAAGGGGACTAGTGAGTTGGGTGTGGAATATCAAAAAGGAAGTTTGGTTGGTGAAATGGATAGCAAAAGGATCAAACTTTGTTGCTGGGTTCTATGATGATATCTGCCTCCACAAGGTAACCATTTCTAACCCCTTCTCCTCACATTAATTCTCCATTTTTCTTTCATTTCTTTCTCTTCTTTCGCTTCTCCGGTTCATCATTTAGGACATAATTGTTCAGAGAGAAATCCCACATCGACTAATTTAATTTAAGGGGTTAACTATGAGTTTATAAGTAAGGAATACTGTCTTCATTAATGAGGCCTTTTAGGAAAATCAAAAGCAAAGTCACGAGAGCTTATGCTCAAAGTGGACAATATCATACTATTTTGAAGGTTTGTAGTTTCTAACATGGTATCAGAGTCATGCTCTTGACTTATCCATGTCAGTAGAATCCTTAAATGTTGAACAAAAAAATTGTGAGCCTCGAAAATGTAGTCAAAAGTACACTAAGTGTCGAACAAAGAGTGTACTTTATTCGAGAACTCCAAAGAAGAAGTCGAGCCTCAATCAAGAGAGAGTTGTTCGAGGGCTGCATAGGCAGTGCGTTTTGTTCTAGGGGAGGATTGTTGGGAGAGTACTATCTCTATTGGTACGAGGCCTTTTGGGAAAGCTAAAAGCAAAGCCACAAGAGCTTATGCTTAAAGTGAACAGTATCATGCGATTGCAGAGGTTCATGGTTTCTAATATAACTCAGATCAAAATGGGCTTAGGCAGGAAATTTCCTGGTAATTTCCCAGCAAGACTTTGCGTCTCCTTCACTTTGCGTACTAAAACGACGTCGTAAAGGTTCTAATGTAACCGAACAAAAATAGATATCAAATTAATTAGACACAAAATTTAAAATTTAAAATTTTCAAAACAATTTTCGTGTATTAGGAGACCTAATTATTTTCATTAAAATCATATTGTATTAATTTTAGGAGACCCAATAATTATTTGAGTAAAAAATTCAAAAGATGAAGAATTGAAATTATTTAAAGTAATAAAAGATTTTCATGTCAATTATCACAATCATGCGTAAAAGAAATTGTTTTGTAGTAAATAAGTTGAAAAATAATATATTGTATTTAAACATGCTATTAGGATGACATCATAAAAATATTAAATTGCTTTAAAATATCTTATTTTATTTCAAATCTAAAGAAATCTCTGTAATTTTAATTATTCATCAAGGTTTTAAAAAAAATAAAATACAGCAATTTATAATTAAATTTTGTGACCCAAAAAAGTATTAAATATTCAAATAATTAAAGCATATAAATGATTGTGATTTTATCATCAATGAAAATTTAAAAACTGTCATTATTGCAATATAATGCAATAAAAAAACAAAAACATTACTAAAGGTGCCCTAAATTTTTATTTTTAAAAAATTAGGATTTAATTATTAAATATTTATATTTTTAAAAAATAGAAAACAACCAGACAACCTTATGTTAGGTTAAAACAACTACCCAACAACACGTTATTTAAAAAAATAAATATATATATATATTTATATATATAATCCATTTTTCACTATTATATTAAAAACATTTTTGTTTCAATTTTTGCATTGTTTTTCAATATGGTTGGTTGGGAGTTGGGAGTTGATGCCAATATTTAATATTTACTATGTCATTAATTTATCAATTAAAAATTAGACGTAGGGTCGAAATATGTAATCTTCTTAGATCTTTTAAAGAAAAAATGTGCTACTTTTCTAAAAAATTAAATTAAATAGTCGAGCTTTTAGATCCACTCTTCTAATAATTTTAGAATGTTGGAACGTTTGGACAGACGTCAAAAAGTTTGATTTTGTTACAGCGGAATAGTCGGAAAGCTTAGGTTTATAAAGCCTAAGCTTCCATATCTTGACTCATATTTGATTTTAATAGGTATGAATGTTCTAAATCAATAATAATAAATAAAATAATATCTCGGTCTAATTTTAATTTTATAAAAATAAAAAAATAAGAAGAAATTAAAGCATGCCCCCATTACCTTCCTCTAAAGTATATTATAAATATTTTATTTTCTAACCTCATGAAATGCACCATATTTGATTTGATCTTATCTTTTAAATATATTTTCTAAAAATAAAATTGATTATAACATAAATATCAACTTATTATTATTATTATTATTATTGGGGTTTTATTGATATTAAATTTTCATTAATTAATAAATAGCATGCCTATGGTGGAGTGGGGCGGGGCTTATTGAGTAATATTACTAATATTTATTCTATTATTATTGAGATATTTTAAACAAAAGTTAAATCAATAATTTTACCAAAAACTATGACGTGTCATCTTCTTATTAGTTGATTTATTCCATTATTATTCAAAGAATGTTTAATCAAAACTATTAATTATTTTACCATACGTTTTCAAATATGGAATATTATTTAAATTGAATTTGAAAAGTAGAATGCCCTTAAAATTAAAAAAGAATATATTTCCCTTTTTATATACTTTATTCAGAGGAAGAATATATGGACTTTTATATCTAAATTAAAACAAAAATCAAATATAATTAAGAAAAAGAAAAAGAAAAAAAAATCTTTATACGCGTTTTCCTCGAACCTTCCTCAATATTTTACCCTTCCCATAAATAAATAAAATAAAATAAATAGCCGTTGTCATTTACTTTATACGTGTCATATTTGTTCTAAATTTTCGTACCAAAATACTCCATCTGTCCCATTATTTTAATATTTTTTATATCTTATTAAATCATTTCATTTTATTATTAAAAAAATATTAGCTTATTTCCTGGAGCATTTTCAGGTTTTCTTATATATTTATAGACTATTAAAATATAAAATTAAATATTAAAAAAAAAACGGTCAATTAAACCTATTTATTATGATTAAAACCAAAATCTCCAGCGGATATCCATAAATAAAACCACAGTTTTAATTATTATTATTATTTTAACCGCACCGGATTTTGCCGACCTAGGAACCTTCCTTCACGGAACGGGTATGAAACAGATGGGCAAACGAGAGAAAATGAGGATAGTTGGAGGGCTAGTTGTGCAATTACGTAAACATTATGGGTTATATAATACTAACAATAATAATAAAGTTAATAATAACTTCTTTTCTTCTTTTAATAATTTTTTTTAAAGTTATTTATATAATACTAACAATAATAATAAAGTTAATAATAACTTCTTTTCTTCTTTTAATAATTTTTTTTAAAGTTATTTAAAACAATAAATAAAACGGATCCGTCCTCGTGAAGCAATGGCGAGGTGTATTTATCATAATTCATTAGAAACTTAATTTAAAAAATTAAATAATTATAGAAAAAGAGAGAATATTTTTTATTTTACAGCGAAATAAAATTAATATTTGTAGGAACGGCTTTTTTTGGTTAGAGAATTTGTTCTTGTAGGTGGGTGTGGGTCCCATCTTTTTAAGTTCGTTTTCCTTTTCGAAAAACTTTCACTCATTTTGCGTGTTGTTTGGTTGTGTGAAAGGACAGAGGTTGGGTTTCGGGAATACCGACGCCGAGATAACGACGGTGACGGAGAACTGAGGAAGACGACCACCGACCACCGACCACCGCCTTGGTTTAAACGCATCGTTTTGCCAGGTAATCCGATGAAACTCAAAAATAATTATATGTGTTCAAGTAATTTTAATTTTGAAGTGGTGAAATATATATATATATGTTAAATAATGGACCGACAGAGTCGCCGGGATTTTTGGTCGGTTAGGCGGCACAGACCAAGGACCCGGGGGGACAAGACGTCGTGTTTTTTCACTTGGAAACAATCGGAAAATTTTGACTTTTTTTTTTTGGAAAATAAAAACTTGGGTAAATATATTTTTATTTGAAATGAAATCGTACTGTTTCTGAAAAGTTTCAATGCTGCGATCACCTTCCATATTAACGCGACTTTCCACACTATTGACTTTCTTAAAAGTCTTGTATCCATAATAAAAAAAAAATATTATTTAATTATAGACTTATAATCCTTTCCTAAATTAGTTGAACTCTCGCCCCAATAGACAGACTCCCAAAAAATGCTTTACTTTAAACTCCCAAAACACCTCGTCAATAAAGATATATTTCGTTCACTTATAAAGTCAAGGGATCATTCACTCAAAACAATTCAATTCTTTGTAGCGGTATAATATATATATGAATTAGATTATTACTATCAAATTACTAATTATTAAATTTTTTTTTGATAGTTTGAAGTTAATCTTGGAAGGGTAAATTTAAAAAATATATTTATTTTCATGATTATATTTTTAATTATTCATCTTTAAATATTTTTAAAAATATAAATTTTAATAAGTAATTAAAAATAAATGAGTCTTGTTTAGATTAAAAAATTTAAGAAATTTATAAACCAAACAAACAATTGGAATTGGAAAGGGTGAACTGGTCACCTGCTTGCGGCAACAAGAAGTCAGTATAAGGCTCTCTTCTCGAGTTCTTAACAACTTTCCACTTCCTTCACCGTCTAAATCCATTTCCTTCCCTTTCCTTTTTCCGGCAATAAGATTTTGTTTCCGTGATTCTCAGATGAGCTACCAACATTGATTCACTTCCCTCACGGTGCCATCTCTCCTGCGACAGATTTTTTTTTTTTTTTTCTGCTATGAGTTCCTTCAAGCCCTCTCCCTACGCCAGACGGAGTGATGTGGAGTCCGGCAACTGCAATTCCGACGACCCCGAGGAGGACGACTCATCTAATCCTTTTGAGATTCATACCACTAAGCATGCTTCTGTTGACAGACTCCGCCGCTGGAGAGTACGGTTCTTCTTTTCTCCTTACTCATTTTTTCCGTTTTTATCAATATTGCTCAATCTCTACTGTTGGAGTTTTTTGTTGTGGTTGTGTTCAATTTCAATTTATGCTTCCTTTCTGGCCTTTTCTTTTGGTTTTATTTTGGTAGTGTGTGTTTTTGGTTCCTGCTTTACTTCAGGTTAATCTTGGAATTGAGGTTATATGTGTACAGCAATCTAAGATTGTGCTACCTAGTTATCTCATTAGGAGTTGTTTGAGAATTATATCCATGGAAAATTGTTGTTACCTTAGTTTCTGAACTTCATAATTCTAATCATTGGATAAGTGCAGCGGTAGAAATCTACAAATGTAATGGACTAAAGATTCCTATTAACCTTACTAAGCTGCAAAATTCGTATGATTTGTAACCTTGATCGTACTAATTTGGTGGAACCATGTAAATATGCCAGTTGAAAATCAATTAATTGAAATTGGCAGTTGGACTTTAGATAAATATCTGGCGTTTTTTTATAGGGCTTGATAACTTTTTGATTATAAGGGAGAAAAGACTTTTCAAATGTTTGAAATTTTGAACTTCATGAAGGTCTAGAAGAGGAAATCGATATTTTCCCATTCATTTATGTATGTATATATGCTCATAATATGAAATCTGTCTTTCTTGAGAATGCCTTGAAAAATGTGAACCGAAGATGTAAGGGCAATTTTAATACCAGACACCTGAAATGAGTGGTTCTGTTCTCATTTTCAAATGCTTGTGGCGCTGGCTGGGTTAGACCCATGTCTATGCTAGGATTACTTACGATTTGTAGGTATTGACATTTTCATTTGACCATGGTTCTGGCTATGAAGCTTAGAGTTTGTAAGGAAAAAATGTTCACTAATATGAAAATTCTTACGAATTGGAATCAGGAACCTATTGAGTATGTGAACCTCAAATTAAATAGATTTCAACACTTTGGATTGGGTTAGACATGAATTTCCTTAAGCTCAAAACTAGGCAATCCTCAAAGCTCTTGAGGCAAAAAAGACCCAAGAGTTAAATACTCCTTAAGATGATCAATCAACACTTTAGATAGCCTCCAAACTAGACCTTAAACGCCTCCATCTTCCACTATAGAAAAAGACTAAAATATTCCTATTTAATATGTCCAAGGATAACATTGAAAACCAATAAAATTACATCAAAGTTATTGAATAAAATGTGAATAATAGTTGGAGAGGGTGATCATTTGGTACTTTCCTGTGTATGTTCTCTCCTTGGCGCCATGTCTTCCTTTGAGCCCTTTAAAAATAGCACTTAATTATCAATGCATGATTGAGCAAAGGTGTATGATTTTTAAGTAGAGGCTGGTTGTTGAATGAGTAAGATTGTTACTTTTCTAGTGGGTGACTAGATCATGTAGAAATAAACATTACTAGTACGTTATTTGAAGATGTATAAAGAACTTTAATGGCTGACTTTAAAATTATTAAATATTTTTTATACATCTAGGCAAAAATAACTGGAAGAAAAATAATATGAATATTGAGAATGCGATAACGATTTTTTTTGTTAAAAGTAGTTGATGAGGGGAGGGTCTCACTTGTGTAGGTAGGAGGCAGTTTGAAACCTGTGGAACTAGGAGGATTAGGGATTAGGAGCTTGAGATTACATAACGAGGATTTCTAGGTAGAATAGTTGTGGTGATTCTTCATGGAGCCTGATGCATTCTGACATAGGGTTATTATGAGTAGGCATGGCCCACAGCCTTTTGGGTGTGGTGTGGCTGGTAGTTGTGAGGGCGTTAACAAAAGCCTTAGGAAAGTTATATCCTCTAGTTTTTCTTTTTCGTCTAAGATTATTAATTGCCCTGTTGGGAAGGCTCGAAGGTTTAGTTTTGGTAGGTGTTGGTGGGTGATAATTCTCCGTGCGCTTTGTTTCCACGGTTATACTGTTTCTCAAGTAAGAGGTTGTATTTAGTGGCCTTGACTTTTCCTTAGATTCATCTTATTTGATCACCTTGGACTTTCATAGTCCACTCTCTAATAGACAAGTGACGAGATCTTCCTTTTCTTCCAACATACATTCCCAAGGGAAGGGAGAAGGGTTGTTAAAATTTTTACTCTTGATCCTTTTAGGGGCGTCTCTTGCAATTCTTGTTTTCATTTGGTCTGCCGCTCCTCAAGTTTCCTCTGCATTTACTTGCTATGGAAGGTTAAAATCCCAAAGAAGAAGCTTGCTCATGCCATGGATCATGTTCAGACACTTATCCTTCGTGTTATACCTGCAATGATGCATTCTTTATAGGCAGCACAAGAAAGACCCTCATATGCTGTGGGGTTGCCAGTTTGCTCAACCCCTTTGGTGTTGGTGGATGAGATCGTCTAGTTTATGTGGGGCTATGAATAAAGATTGTAGCTTTATTGGGGAGGAGGTGCTTTTGAGTTTTCCTTATTGGAAAAGGGCAAAGTGTTGTAGTATGCTAATTTCCTTGCAAATTTGTGGGGGCGTTTGGCTTAATAGGATCTTTATAGAGATCTATTTGAGGAGGTCATAAGTTTAATGTTTTCTTGTGGAGTTCGATCACTAGCCGTTTTGTTATTGTAAGCTAGGTCTTATTCTTTTAGATTAAGTCAATTTCTCTAGTCAGGGTTCATATCCCATTTTTGGTGGGTTTCTTCCATTTTTTTAATGTCCGGTATATTATTTTACGTCTTTCCATGAAAATGTGGTTTCTTACCTAAAAAAACTTATTTTTGGTTGGGATGCCTAGTTCTGTAATCAATCTCTAAAATGAGCCCTGAAGACTTTAATCTTTCATCATCTCATGCTTCATTCATAATACTGTAACTTATACATTTGTGTGTGTGTATATATTTTAGAGATGTCGTATCCTTTGCTTCAATAAAAATGGCCTCAGTGTTTCTTTTCGTTTACACCCCAGAAGGTTAAGTGCTTTTTGAGCTTAAAACAGTTCTGTAGACATTCTCACTATTATATTCTTGTATTCATGGTTTTGAGTCTCGACATTGACTGTTTATTTCTTAAAATCTAACGGTTTGAATTGTTTACCATCTCCAAGCTGCGCTTGTTTAAATGAGAATCTAACAGTTTAAATTGTTTTACCATGTCTCTTTTATAGCAAGCTGCACTAGTGTTAAATGCTTCTCGTCGATTTCGGTATACCTTAGACTTGAAAAAGGAAGAAGAGAAGAAAGAAGCTTTGAGAAAGATTAGAGCACATGCACAAGCCATACGAGTAAGTATTTATTGAACCTAAGTCTTTTCAATTCTTTTAACGTGTGTTTAATCTCCATTTTTGTTTTCTGGGTTAGGCTGCATATCTCTTTAAAGAGGCTGGGAATCGTCTATCAGGTTTGCTATTTTTCATTTAATTTCATTTCTACGTTACAAATGTGGAAATACATGATATGAGGAACTTGTGAACGGAAGTTCCAGACAATTATTTTGTTCACACAGAGTTTTCAATGTATTTGCGCTGCCTTTTGCTTTCCTCTTCTCTTTTGAGATTTCCATCTATTTAGTAGGAGTGTACTTTGACCTGCCATTGCTAATAGTCCATTTACTGGGTCCAGTTTGAGATGTTCTTTTGATACTGTTGGTCAGTTTCTGACACCTGTCCAATAAGTATCTGTGTCTAGTACATGAAGAATGTAAATAATTTACCCAGAATGTAGTGTATATGAATCAGAATTTGCATTAAAGTTTCTATTTTAATACTTATGATTTCATTTTAACTCGACTCTTTTCTGAATGGATCCAAGTGCTAGAGAAATCTCCAAGAAGCCTTAATGCTATATGTTTCTACCTAAATAATTAATTGACATTGCTGATTTATTTTTTTATTGTGCAATTTATGCCCTGTTGATGTGGAGATTTCTGCTACACTCGTGTTGACCCAGATTGTCTTTTGTGATACTTTATATTTGCACTGAGACAACATCTCTATTCTCTTTTCAATGCTTGTTTTTATTTTTTATGATGATCCTAATTTATTTAATCTTTTTTTACATTGTTTTCAAAAGTAACTTTTGTTTTCTATTTTGTGCATTTTTCTGGAATTCAGTACCTATTTTCTTGTTTTTCTTAAAAATTCTTAGAACTTTTCACTCAAGAGTGTTAGGCTCTGTGCCTTTTGGTTTTTAATGTCTTTCTTTGGTATTTTTCATTTGATAAATAGTTATATGTACTAAGTTCTTTACTTCAGTTTGTAATTATTTTTGTCCAACATCTGATGATGCACTTGTTTTTTATGGCTTTTATGTTGCACGGTTATAAATGGTTTCTGTTTGCTGTTTTGCTCACTGATTGAATGAGGTTTCTTTAGGTCCTAGGCCTACAGCATCTGCAGCTCCAAATGGTGATTTTTCTGTTGGGCAAGATCAACTGGCTGTGTTGGTAAAGGATCGAAATGTTGGCACTCTGGAGCAGTATGGAGGGGTTAGTTTTATTTTATTTTTATTTATTTTATTATTTTTTAAACTTCTTTATCCTTTTGATAACTACCATCATATAATTATTCTATCTAATGGATGAGTTCAATGATTTCATCAGGTTAAAGGGGTAGCAGATATGTTGCAATCAAACTTAGAGAAGGGGATAGTTGGTGATGATTCTGATTTACTGAAACGGAGAAACACATATGGTTCAAACACGTATCCTCAGAAACCGGGAAGGAGTTTTTGGGTAATTCTCAGACTAATAGTTATATTGACGTGTGGAACCAGTTACATTTAAGGCTTTCTTATTTTTTATGTGCTTATCTAATAAAAATTCATAAAAGAAACAGGGTTTGTAGTATATTAGCTAACTACTGATAAGAAATTATTGTATAGAGAAAATTACTACTGATTTGGTTGGTTTAAATGGTCACCTCGGTCTTTAAATTTTAACACTCAACATGTTAAAGGCTTAAACAACTAAGGCCAGGTTTAATAACGATTTCATTTTTAGTTACGTTTCTGAAATTTATGCTTGTTTCCTCCCTATTTTCTTCTTATAGTTTTCACCATTCAGATATAACCATTTTAATTTTGAGTCAAATTGTAAAAAAAAGGAAGTTTTAAAAACTATTTTTTTAGTTTAATATTTGCTTTGGTTTTTGTAAACATTGGTAGAAAGTAGATGACAAAACAAAGAAACTTGTTGGGAAAATGAACGCTCATAAGCTTAATTTTCAAAAACCAAAAACCAAAATCCAAAAATCAAATGGTCAAACAGGGCTTACTTAAACTTGACTTGGTTTTCGAGAACAAAATAAAGAAATCACCGGTAGTGTTTTTATGCTTAATATTCAAAAAAAAAAAAAAAAAAAAAAAAAAAAAAAAAAAAAAAAAAAAAAAAAAAAAAAAAAAAAAAAAAAAAAAAAAAAAAAAAAAAAAAAAAAAAAAAAAAAAAAAAAAAAAAAAAAAAAAAAAAAAAAAAAAAAAAAAAAAAAAAGAAGAAATCAAATGTTATCAAACGGACCTAAGGCTTTTTAGGGGCAATGATAGACCTCCTATTAGATCTCATACACAAGGTGTGAAATTGAGATGAGAGTAAGCATGAGAAAGGGAGGGGAGTAGTTTGAGTTGGAATGTTTACAGAAATAGGGATGGATTTTTGTATTGGGTTTTGGGAAGAAAGTATTATTAGGTAGCTAAATGGTGGTTGTAGCTAAGGATAACAAAACTTGAAATTTTTTGGCTAATTAGTGATTTGAGCGGCTTCTCACCTCCAGAGAGTGAACTAGGCCTTGAAATCCTGGGTCATAGTTTTTGCTATGGGATTTGTAGACTGTGTTCTCTTGGTATATTCGTCTAGGTTTCCATCCTAAAATAGTACCGAATGCTTCATCACTTTGTTGAATCTTGCGAACCATATTTATTAATGCTACTACTGGTGGTTTGTCAGCCATTATCTTTGCTCTGTCTCTGTGTTAGTTGCACAGACATATATTTGTTTCTTCTGTTTGCAGAGGCCAAACTTCATGATGAATATCTTCCTTTTTTTGTTTTCTTGTAGAGGTTTCTCTGGGAAGCTTGGCAAGATCTTACGTTGATCATATTGATGATAGCTGCTGTTGCTTCGTTAGTGCTAGGCATAAAGACTGAGGTGAGATTTCTTTTTCCTCATTGCGCTTGGTGTACATTTTATTGTTGAAAAAACATTTGAACTTTTATTAACGTTTGAAATTTTGGGTTTCTAAACAGGGTATCAAGGAAGGCTGGTATGATGGTGGAAGCATTGCTTTTGCAGTTATTCTTGTCATTGTTGTAACAGGTGCTATACGTTGGGGCTTCTTTTATTGTTCTTATTTACATTCTGTGTCATGCGTATGGTATTCTATTTTCCTTCTGACTCAGTTACGTTATTTTAGATATTTGAGTGAAGTGGTGTTCATGGGTTCGTTCAGCTCATTTTTAGAGTTGAACCAAAAATAGATTGGTTTTTCATTGAAAGAAAGAAAGTTGATCCATAACAATAGATAGCTGACAATCAAGTCAACCAAATTGTCAACCAGAAGAACAGTTCGTTGTTTTGAGGGGTTAATCGACTTAGTTCACAATTAGATGTCACCTAGTGTCCATGCAGCACATAGAGTCCCAAACCCAACTCTCTCCCTTTGAAGGAATGCCAAATAAAAAACCCTGAAAAAAACTTCTCTCTCTCCTCGTTTTGGGATGGAGGAAGTGGCAGCAGCTGATTGGTTATGTCCTATGTCCATTTCCCATGCCTTTTGAGTTTTCCTTTCATTTGAAATTTCTGGCACAGTTGAACTTGTTCTCGATCACATGACATATCCAGTCAGGGCATTGAGGATGAGTTGATGTAGAAGAATCAAGATGGTTTGGTGAAAGGGAGAAAAGAGAGAGCGAATATGAAAGAGTGGGAGGGGAAGAGAAATGAGAGAAAAAGTTGACGTTGCCTTGAGAGATAGAGAGAGAGTTAAAATTCGAATGTAGTTGAGACAACTAGCTCAGTAAAGGTGTGTCAGGCTTGTGGGAAGTTAGGGCTGGTAATGTGTGTCGGACTTTCTTTCCCTAGTTTTTTTTTCTGTGTTTTCTGTTTTTTGGCTTTTTAACATACAAATCAGTCAGTTCAGTTTTATTTTTGGTTTATTAGATAGAAAACTGAACCTAACCGATAATGTCAGTTTTTTGCTATTGATATTTAAAAAACTAAAGCTGAAACCAACAGAACAGACATTGGTTGTCGCTTTTTTTATTCTAGTTTTCATCCCTACAAAATTTGAGTATTAATCTGATCTATTATGAAGCAATGGAAGCAACTATACTTTTATTACTGTCATGAGAAGTTTGCTAAGAAAGAAACTACGATTTCTTTGCAGTTACAGCCGCACAATTTTTCACATATTGTTTTGCACACGTCTTGAAGCCTTAAAACAGCTTTCTAATAATTGCAAAAGAATACATATCTTTTTGTATTAATTTTCTATTTTTGATTTAATATTTTATTCACTCATCTCGTCTACAACTATTTCCAAATCTTTTCACTGACAATTATCTTATCTTTTCTATTTTTGCCTTTTTTCCCAGCTATTAGTGACTATCGGCAATCTCTTCAATTTCAGAATTTGAATAAGGAGAAGAGGAACATACAAGTGGAGGTAAGCATAGTTATTGTTCTAATAATTTTCACCACATGCCTGTAGTGGTCAATTTTTTTTTGAGATATGGTGCCAAAGAAATATCCTATTTAAGGGGGTAGATCTTTTTGGACTTGGAAATGTCTTCATAACTATTTTGTTTCTAGTTATCTCCACCTACTAGGTTTCTTGCTTGTGGTTTTCAAATTTATTTTATCCTAAGTTTATTTAGGTCGTTTCTAGCTGATCTATTTTGGTTGTCATTGCTTGAATAGGTTGAGAAGTCTTATATTGTTGAAATTATAGTGCTACTAACACAATTATTTGGATGTTCTTTATATACAAAATTTGCTTAATATACAAAATTCTGACTCTTCTTTAAGACAAATGATAGTGTTTTGTAAGAAAGAGAAACAATATTTCATTAATGTAATAAAATTTTAAAAACCACGAACTAAAGTGGGTTAAAGAAAAGCTCCTACAATCAGCACATATATTATTTGAAGAATAAATACAGAACAATTTACTAAGCCTGCACCAGGTGCGGCTTTGAATATATGAGGTGGGAGAAATAAGTGAGTTATTTCTTTTTCTTTGTCATCGAAGTGTTTCAAAGCTTCAAATGAACTGAGGCTAGAGGACTTCAACCACCTCAAATTGTGAGCACCAATTTGGGATGAGAGTTTTATTTTCTGAATTCTTTTCATGAGGGTTTATACTTTGCTACTGTTATCTTCCCAAATAAAGATGTTTGCCTTTGGATTCTCAACTTTTCAACTCACTTTCTAATGAGGGTGTAGAGATGAATATTACAGGGATGAGATTTTGCAAGAGAGAGTATTGCCTGTTAGTGCTAGGGGTGTTCACTGGTTGGTTAGGCTTGACTTTAGAGTTCACAGCTAAAACTGAACTCAAAATGAAAAGAAAAAGAAAATGGAGAGCTGATGAGACCAAGAACTTGATGCTTCTGTTAGTTCAGTTCAACTGTGCGCTGACTCATGGAATATGAGGGCAAGGTGGGTCAGTTTGGTGGGCTAAGAGAAAGGCGAGCATTGGGGATGAGTCAGAGATTGATAGTCACGTTGGAAAATTAATGATGTGGGTAGAGGAAGGAAGACACTAGGGTCGACTAACTTAAGGGAGGGGAAATTTAAACCTAGGCAAAGGGTATTAGAAAATTTAAGAAAGAAACTGGAATTCATGAATGGACGTTGGATGCACAAACATAACATGCAGAAAAAAAATCCAGTCGACATCGTTCTTTTTCTTCTATTTAGCTTCTTTCAACCATTTTTTTTTTCTTTTTTTGCCCTTCTCAAGGAGAGTGCCTATCTTGCCATGAACATGTTCGTGGCAGCTAAAACACACAAAAGGCGAGTACCTTGTTGAAAATGCTTGCCTAGGCTACCACTCAGGTGATGGCCATGCTTCTTGCATTGCCTACTGAGTGAAGCACATTATATTTATCGGTTGGCTCAGTTTAGGGTTTGCTTATTATTACTATTATTATTTTTGATATCCAATAGTGTCAGGCCATAAAGCTTAACTTTCACCTGTATATGTTTTGGTTAGGTATCTTTAAAAATTTACTATCTACCAGCTTGATTGTTCTCACGATGTTTGGAGTTTCCTTTATTCTTTCATGGTTAATGAAGATTTGAGTCCCCTCTTGTGCTCTTTAGATTTAATAATTTTCTGAACTTTGTGACATAATTTTGCCTATTAATCTCATAGATCTTAATGTTGATATTCTCTCATTTCTTTTTACAAACTGTCAACTCTTCTGCTTATATGGTTAGCAATTCTAATACCACTATTGTTGGATTGTTATTTTTATTAAATAAATAATTAACACCAGAATTAATAGGTTGTTAGAGGTGGTCGTCGAATTGAGGTCTCAATTTATGACATTGTTGTTGGTGATGTTATACCACTCAATATTGGTGATCAGGTCTGCAGTTCTATTCTTTTCTTTTTTGTATTTTATGGCACTCACATTTCGATGATGAACTGTTATGCTGATAGATCTTCGTTAGGTCCCTGCTGATGGCATCTTAATTTCTGGACACTCACTTGCCATTGATGAATCAAGCATGACTGGAGAGAGCAAGATTGTTAGTCTTTATAAATCTTTGCCTTGTTAGATTAAATGAACCGCTCATAGGTTCTCTTTTCTTCTAAATGAGGAGGGTTGCTTCATTTGTAGGTTCAAAAGCATGGTAAGGAACCTTTTCTGATGTCTGGATGCAAAGTAGCTGATGGTAGTGGCAGCATGCTGGTAAATGTTTCTTTACTTATTTTTGGGTTAGGTCTTTTTCCTTCGAGTTCTTCACGAGTGCAGTTTATCCAATATTATTGTTAGGTTTGTGTGGGTGTGTTCATTTTACGTCTTTCAGTCCTTTGGTCTGAACATTGCTCGAGAGTCATCAATTTGAATCATGTTTACTATTAAGCAGCAAGATATCAGTTTACTTCTTGAAAAATATATTAATTTATTTGGGTTTGAATTTAAATGTTAAGTTTTTCTCAGCCTTTATCTAAGCCTGGATATTATTATTTATTTCTTTGGACGTCTGGCTGATATGATAATCTAGAAATTGCACAACTTAGAAGGATGTTAGTATGTTGGACGTCTGGTTAAAGTTGTTAGTATCATGAACTATATCAACTTTCCCTGGAGTTGGATGAGTAAATGTGAGTCTGCGTACTGTAAGTAGAAATGATCACTTTTTTTTCCCTTTTTTTAAAATGTTTATAAAATATTTATATCAGTCTTTGTACGTGAAAAATGCTCTTGTTATTTGGTTTCACACTCTTTGTTCACCATCGCCATAGCCAACCTATTTGGCACCAATATATGTCATTGATAATATGTTAATACACATACTTGAAGTCATGTTATTAATAATTTGCTATAAGATAAATTATAGTAAGGAACAAAATGATTTTAAGGGCTGAAATAGGTTTAGGGAAAAAAAGTTCAGGATGCGAATTCCTATTGGAGACATGTTAGGGATACGCTTCAGACATCTTTTAGGGATAAAGAAGCTCACTATATAGAAAATAGTGTGGCTGGAAGCCACCTGAGAAACAAAACAGGCATCGCACATGATTCTATTTCTATGTTTGTTTTGTAAATCTTAATGGATATTGGGTTTTGTTGGTTGTTTCCCACCTATTTAATGAATTGTGTTCTCTTTTGATGTTTAAATTTAGATATGAATTTGGTTTTACAATTTAAATATTTATGCACACTTTTTTTAAAAAAAAACTAACATGTTTCCAATGTGTTGTGCCTAATGTCTCTCGAAATACTGCCACATGTTGGTGTAGTAATTCTTTGGTACAAAAATGGCCTTTAATAGGCTGTTTAACATTTGCACAGTTTTATATATATGGGCTTAGTTCTATGGGAATGTTCCATGAATGTGGCTTACACTCCCTTATAAGAGGTGTTGGTTTCCTATTTTGGGAAGGAGAACCTCTTCTGTCTTCTAAACTGGTGCTTTGCATAATGACAATTTTGAGCTTTAAGTTTGTCGAGGCTTTGATCCTAATCCTGGTGCAGATAGTATGGGAATCTGTGTTTTTATTATGTTTGAATATAACATGATAAATTCTTTGTTCATAGTTTAAGATAGCAACATCAGTAACTGGCAACTAGTTAAGTCGAAAATAGAAATTAATTGACAGTAGCTTTATAGCCAAAATAACAATCATGAACGGTAGTGGAAATTGCAGCAAGACACAGTAAAATTTATGAAGCCCAATGCCTAAAGCTAACTACATTATTATTTCAGGTTACAAGTGTTGGAGTTAATACTGAATGGGGTTTGCTTATGGCAAGTATTTCTGAAGACAATGGCGAGGAAACTCCTTTGCAGGTATGATCCTCATTTTTTTTTCCCGGTTATTGACAGTATATCTTCTCCTGTTCCATTTCACAATTGATGAATTTTAATAGGTGCGTTTAAATGGTGTGGCAACTTTAATTGGTATTGTTGGACTCACAGTAGCCCTTGCTGTTTTGATTGTGCTCCTCACAAGGTAAATCAGAGTCTGGCTAATTACGTCTGTCCATTTCTAATGGATAGGAGATTCTTGTTTAACGTTTTTTTGGCTTCCTTTTTTATCAAACAAATTTGAGCAGGTATTTCACTGGTCACACCAAAAATCCAGATGGAAGTCGTCAGTTTATTGCAGGCCAGACAAAAGTTGGCCGTGCCGTAGATGGAGCCATCAAAATTGTCACTATTGCGGTATGTGTAAATTTAAAATGTTTGGAGGATTGACTGAAGGATGATGATGATTACACATCTTAAAAGGATGTGTGAAAGATTTGTACGATGGATGAATGATGTGCATGTCTGCTTGGATGTGTATTTACAGCTTTTATAACACATTTTGCTTTCAATGTTTTTCATGTAGGTGACCATTGTTGTGGTTGCTGTGCCCGAAGGGCTTCCACTAGCTGTTACCTTAACGTGAGTGTACTTTATTTACTAATGACTTTGTGTACTTATTGTTTATGAAAAACATGTCCTTTTACACATTTAATTTCTAAATTTCTGTAAAATCTCCAATCTTGTATGTCTTATGCTTCTCCTATGGTACATTAGTTGTTTTTGTTTCCCTGTGGTTTTCCTGCTTTATTGGTACTGTTGACTCCTTCCTTTTTCAAGCGGACATCCGCCCAGGAAAAAGAAATTGATAGAGGGTACAAAGCCAATACCTACTACCATGGACTTTCTATTCCTAATTTTTGTATAAACTACTTCAATGCAATAGAAAAGAATTTTATAATTGTATTGGAATGCACTAAGCGTTTTGTTTATTTATTTCTTTGAGATTTCATCCTACGATATTTTGACAATTCCTGCAGTCTTGCTTACTCAATGAGAAAGATGATGGCAGACAAGGCATTGGTAAGTTCAGTGGTTTATTCCACGGTCATACTTGAGTGAATTTATAGATATTGCAGATTTATTGATCATATGCTTACATACTTTGATGGGACATAATATAAGGTGCGGAGGCTATCAGCATGTGAGACGATGGGGTCTGCTACGACTATTTGTAGTGATAAGACTGGAACCTTAACTTTAAATCAGGTAAGTTTCATGAATTTTCTTTGATTTTTAAGCTTACCTTTTATTCTGGTGACAACTTGATCCATTGTTTCTAGATTTTGATCTTCAAAATTCTATTTTATATGATGTTAAATTGACAGTGATTTCAAAACTCTCTCTTGCTCTCTCTCTAAAAATTTGTCCATTTCCTTTAGAACTCCTTGGAATCTGGATAATGATGAAATAGAGAAATATTTACGAGTCTTCTAGGAAGAACCAATCTTTCTTTTGCTTTTATTAACCTGGTTGGCCTTTCATGTCTGTTTACCTTGTTGGTCAATTTTGTAGATGACCATTGTTGAGGCTTATGTTGGAGGGAAGAAGATTGATCCGCCAGAGAAGAAGTCAGAGTTGTCTCCCATGATACACTCCATACTTGTTGAAGGCATTGCTCTAAACTCAAATGGTAGTGTATATGTACCTGAGGTATGCTCAAAAAAACCTGTGATTATTTCTTAGATCTATTGAAATTTCCAGAGCCTTGAGTTTTTGTGTTACAATTATCGAAAATAGATTCAAATCCAATTTTGTCATCGTCAAATATGTATAATATGTCTAGCAACCTGTCGTAACCCTAGTTTTTAATTTTCAGAGTGGTGGAGAGGTAGAGGTTACAGGTTCACCTACAGAAAAGGCTATTCTTAATTGGGGTATCAAGGTACTTTTCAATTGAGTTCGTCCTTTTTTTCCTACAGAATTTATTTGAAGCATACAGTATTAACAATAATACTGCGGCTACAGCTGGGAATGAACTTTCAAGCACTTAGATCAGAATCTGCAATTCTTCATGTTTTCCCCTTCAGTTCAGACAAAAAACGTGGTGGTGTTGCAGGTCAACGGGTAATCAGCTATGAATTTTTTCGTGTTTTTGTTTGGTTTGGAATTGTTTCTCTGAATATAATATTTAGAATTGCCTGTAGTGGGTAATTGGAACCTCCACTATATATGTTTCTTTAGAGATCCAGGAATTTAATTTTCTCATGTGGCTCCATAAACCATTTTCTAGACTTGATGATGTGAAGACAGTAAAAATATGGACAGCTTTTACTTTTGGGATTGAGGTTGCTTCTCATTATTCAGTTTGAGATCCATATCAAAACAATTATGTTATTACTTTCCCTGGCACTTGACATTGTTGTATAGTGCTATTGCCTTTTTGGTTCTTGATCAAGTGTTAGATATTTGGAATAATGATACATGAATATACTATACGGTTTTTACAGGATAATCAAGTTCATATACACTGGAAAGGTGCTGCTGAGATAGTCTTGGCATCATGCACACGGTTTATTGAACATGATCACTCTGTCCAACTAGATGAAGATAAGGTCTGACACATTTTCATGTGAATTCAATTCCCTTTTCTTTTTTATAGTTTCATGTATCATAGCTGAATATTAGCTACCTTATCACACATGTTCAATAATTAGTGACCTGCTACCATGTTGAAATGATTTTGATATGCTCAGTTGTACCAATCTTTCTTGTTTTTATTAGCAATTTATGCTGTAGTATTTGGTATTTTTTTGCAGATGAAGTATTTTAAGAGAGCTATTGAGGATATGGCTTCACGTAGTTTACGTTGTGTTGCAATTGCATATAGATCTTTTGAACCTGAGAATGTTCCTGATGGTGAAGAACAATTGAGTAAGTGGGCTCTACCAGAAGATGACCTTGCTTTGTTGGCTATAGTTGGTTTAAAGGTAGGTCTTCGTTACGTCACTTGATTCTGCATCTTCAGTTATAAGATAAAAAGTTGTACAGCTTGAAGGCATGTGAAAAGTTCTGTCTTTCCTTCACATGCTCGTTAATTTGAACTAAAAAGTTTGCTTATACATTCTGTTAGCTTCTGGCAGAATGTCCTTATGGCTGAAGATTGTAGATTTTTTTTAATCACAAAATTTGATAATCTTCCTCATTTTATTATTACTTTTGTGACATTTTTCTGTCTTGAAATATAGCTATTCAGTTACCAAGAGATCAGCATCATGCCTTTGTTATTTGGTTATGATTTTGCATGTAATCTAATGAAACACTAAAAGCAAATATGAATGTGCACGGTTGTTTGTGCTTTTCTTTTGTCCCCAAATTTCCTAAATTTCTAGAATTTAGGCTTACGCATGCTTTTATTATCTTGTGCCCTTTGGATTGTAGGACCCCTGTCGACCAGGAGTAAAGGATGCAGTACGACTTTGTCAAAAGGCTGGTGTTAAGGTATTCTTTTCTGATAAATATTTTGTTTTCATTCTATAGTATTATGAATGATTAATACGTTTGGGCTCAAAACATTAATGTTGAATTTTCTCCCCTCCATACTGGCAGTTATATCAGTTTTATGAAGCTGCATATTTATTATTATTATCTTTTTTTTATTTTTTTTATTTTGCATATATGCACATGCTTAAGATGCTACTGGCAACCTTTTTTTGGTTATTCCTTATTCTTATTGGTTGTTTGTGCCCTTTACTAGCAACTTTTATGGGTTATAAGTTGAAACCTGATGTAGGAAGGTATTATGTGTAAACTTGAGTTGCTGAATGTTGAGGTCTTGGGACTAAAGAACTATGAAAATTTGAAGGCAAATTCGAACATAGCAGAGAACTAGAGTTCTCACCGCAACACCTCAGGGATAACTATGATCTTGGATATGAATTCACTAGCCTTTTAGATAATATCTGTTCGAACTTGTCCACTATTGCCTGGAAGCAAGTTATAACAGCTGTACTCAACCAAGAAATCTAGGACTTACAAATATGCATGAAATTAAGAAATTTAATTCCAATTGAATTTCAGTATATGATGTTTTTATAATTGTTGTTTTCCTTATTTTGTTGAAATCTTCAATTTATTCCTTGATTAATCTCTTTTAGTTGCCTTCTCTTAGATCAATTTTCTCGGCCATTCTCATTTTCTTATATCTTTTACCATATGTCTCTTGTAGAATAAATGTTCTCGTCGTTTCTTTATTACTTTAGGATACTCCACATATATACATTAACTCCCTAAACAGTCTGCACAAGAGTCTCTTTTTATTGGATGTTAACTATTACTCTTGTTTTTTAGTTGGATGTGGACTGTTTATATTCACTAAAAAATATTTCATGCATAGGTGCGCATGGTCACTGGTGATAATGTGCAAACTGCTAGAGCTATTGCGTTGGAATGTGGAATACTTGGTTCAGATTCAGATGCTACTGAACCAAATCTTATTGAAGGAAAAGTATTCCGTGCCTTATCTGATGCCCAAAGAGAAGAGGTCGCTGAGAAAATATCAGTGCGTCTTTTGGATCCCTCCCCCCCCCCCCCCCCCCCCCCCCCCCCCCCCCCCCCCCCCCCCCCCCCCCCCCCCCCCCCCCCCCCCCCCCCCCCCCCCCCCCCCCCCCCCCCCCCCCCCCCCCCCCCCCCCCCCCCCCCCCCCCCCCCCCCCCCCCCCCCCCCC